GAGCAACTGGTTAAGTAAACCATGAGTGAGGGGAGAGAGGTTAAAGCCACCCTTTCAAAGAGACAGCAATCTGAACTTCTGGCCTTGACCTGGTAAAATATCCTGATCTGCAAAACAGATTCCCCTGGTTTTTACCCCCTCACACTCAAAGAGAACAGCCTCTCTCCATCTTCTATGAACCCCCTTGTGCTGGGGTTTTCCTAAGCCTGGGTTCTGACCCACCAGTTAGGTGTTTCTGTTATTCTCTTCCCTTAATGGACCGAAGACAATGATCAAGCGATTTGTCTCCTGCCATCCCTCTCCAGCCTCTGACAGACAGAGGCCAAGGACACCATTTTATCCCCTGGCTAATAGCCTTTTATGGACCTAACCTCCATGAAATTATCTAGCTTCTCTTTAAACTCTATTATAGTCCTAGCCTTCACAGCCTCCTCTGGCAAGGAGTTCCACAGGTTGACTACATGCTGTGTGAAGAAGAACTTTCTTTTATACTCCCTTTCAGGAAGCTGTAGGCTGCAATCAAATCCCCCCTCGCTCTTCTCTTCTGCAGACTAAAGCCCAAATCCCTCAGCCTCTCCTCATAGGTCATGTGCTCCAGCCCCTGAATCAGTCCGTGTCACGTAGGTGTCTCCTGCCACATACAACAGCACAGAGCGTGAGAGCCTCCTGCCCCAGGGTAATGAAAGGGAGAAGAAAGCCCTGAGCTGGGTAAAACAGTTCCTCTGTACATCCACACCTACATTTGCAGTGCAGGGAACCATGGTGTGAAACCACAGACAGAATTTGCCGTTTAAAACCCAGCTGGCCCTACTTTTCAGGATAGGGAAAATGGGCCTCCGTCTCTCCAGGATCCACACGGTTTTCCGATTGCCCCATTCGGAGGCCCTTGAATCTCCGTCAGCGACTGCAGCTCACTCATGGCAGTTAGAGTTTGTAGTTCAGATGAGACTCTGTTGCACCGCAACCCCCAAATCAGGACAAAGATGGCAATCGGTTCTCGTAACAGTCTCGGTCAGGAGTTTAGTTGTGGTCATGTCCTGCCCACGGAGATTCTCCTTTAGCTCAGGGTGGTGAAGATAGAGCCAGAAAGTGGTAAATTCTGTGCCGCGCCTACCATTGGGATGACCGTTCGTTATCCGGAGCCGTTCACTCTGCCACCATGAGCGTGTGGACTTTTAGGCTCACATTTGCAAAGCTTTCTGCAGGATTTGGAGTCCTTCTTCCCGTTACCTTTAAAAGTTTGGATTCCCCATTCCCAGTAACTGCTTAACTGTTTCGGGTGTGGCTGCTTATCCCATATACATCTCTGCAGCAGAAAAGATTACTCCTGTTCCTCTTCTGAGACATGAATTCAGACATCAAACTTCAGAAGAAATGGCAGTATAGGGTCCTTGGAACCCTGTTTACAAGTTGGGAGCTGACCTGGCAAGAGACACTGGCAAATGTACATCCCTTTTGGACAGAATGAAATTTGCATGTAAATTGACATGTGCAGCAGCTGACATTTCACAGTGCAAGATCTCTGAATGGATGGAAGCCTGATTACTACTCACAGTCAACCTGTGGAACTCCTTGCTAGAGGATGTTGTGAAGACCAAGACTTTAACAGGGTTCAAAAAAGAACTAGATCAATTCATGGAGGTTAGGTCCATCAATGGCTGTGTGATGGCGCGTTGGGGGTCCCCCGTCTCCTGCACCCCGAAATGGCACAAACAGACTGCACCAGCCAGTGGAATAGAGGAAGTTTATTGCCTCTCCAGGATACAGCACAGCACAGATGTAATCTGGTCACAGAGCTGGGCTTGGAGGCCTCAGGCCCCCTTGAGATGGGGGGGACTGGGGCCCTAAACTCCAGCCCCTTTCCCTAGGCTGTCTCCTCCATGCTTCCAGCCAGCAACTCACTACCCCTCTTCCAGCCCTGCCCCCCAGCCAGGGCAGCATTCCCCCTTCCTTTGTTCCTCTCCATGTGAGGCCCTACTGGTTTGCATAGTGACTCATCCTGTTTTGCTGGGTCGTGGTACCCACGGCAGCCAGTGGGGGGTACCCCCGAGCCAGCAGCATAGAAACCAGCCAGGTACCCCCCACTACGTCACAGGCTGTTAGCCAGGATGGGCAGGAATGGTGCCTTTAGCCTCTGTTGTCAGAGGCTGGGAATGGGTAACAGGGGAGGGATCGATGGATGATTCCCTGTTCTGTTCATTCCTTTTGGGGCACCTGGCATTGGCCACTGTGGGCAGACAGGACCCTGGGCTGGGGGGACCTTTGGTCTGATCCATTATGGCTGCTCTTATGTTTTTATGCTTCATTAACCACACACATGTAAAATATTCACTTGGATTTTGTTGCCAAGCTGGGGAGTGGGGAAAAATGCTGCATAGAGAAATAAAAGTATCAGGGTTGAAGGACAAAGGGAGGAGCTGGACGTACTCTCAGAAATCTTTCCCCTTTTTACAACTTTTTAAAGGAAGCTCTATAATCTTCAGCTATAAAGAGGATTAGGTGCAGAAATCATTGGGTTTCGGATTTCTGATGTAATTGCCCATAGTCTGAAAACACGTCCGCTAGCTGTGCCAAGACTCTGGTGTATTTTGCCGCGTGAACCCTCTCCAAATAAAGCCCGGGACCAGCCTTTTTTTTTTACATCATAGTAAATGCAGAAACCACAACAACATCCCCAAAGGGGCTGCGCTCCTAAGTAGAGAGCTAGGCTTCCTAAACGCAGGAAGCTCCGAGGCACTGCGGTGGCACTGCGAGTAGGCACTAGCTTTTCTTTCCCGAAAGCCCCGGTTTTAATTATAGATGAACAGAAAGCTCCTTGCCTGTCCTGGGCTGGTTTCAGAGGGTTAGGACAATAGGACTTCCGGTGCCATTACCTACAGATTGCATTGGCAGCAAACACCTATAAGGGATTGGGCTAAAAAGGGCCGGCTTCATTGCTGAATGAAGCCACAATCTCCATTTCGGAAAGATCGGTATCGCAGATGGAGCCGGGGGAACTTTGCGTGGTGGGCCCGCCTTGGGGGTCTGCACAGACCCCCGCTCCAGCTGGGGGCTGGTGATGTCCTGGGTAGGCAGGAGATGTTTTTGGCTCATTGTTTTTACACCAGGACATCTACAAACGACGGGCCTGATTGAGTGAGGTACCAGCTTCCATTGACACGCTTGGAAAGGGGCCATCCCCCAACTGGGACCTGCCAACCCACTCCTGGCCTCCAGACGGTGCCTAACTGGGTGGCTTCCCCCCCTTTAAGGGCTGCCGGGCTGGGCTTAGCCAGTTCTCCTTGCTGCAGAGGCACCTGGAGTGGATCGGGTAATTCCCTAGCAAGGGCAGCTGGTGACTGCACTGAAGGGGTAAACTGCAGGAAGTCAGACCCTGGTACCAGGAGGGGCTGGTGACATGTGGCTCTGAGTCCCTGGAAGGGGCGGGGCCACACGTGGAAGGGGCGGGGCCTCACGTGGAAGGGGC